TCTTAGTACGTTGATATAACACGAGTGAGACTATCCCCATAGGGGCGTCGCGCTTTGCCGATCATTTATTTGATGACTCTGAGTGCCAATGGATGAAATTTTCTTTCTCGAAACTGTGGACAAATTACTGCAGATAATGCGACTAACAATGGGACCATGGTCAGATAAATTAACGAGACACTTGCTGACGAGGTGTTTTCCAACGAACAAACAACCGCGGCTTCTACCACGACGGGGGGTACATATAGCTGGTGAGGAAGGCAGAAGTTCTCAGCTGAAGGTGATACAAGTTCGTTGTCTCGCTCATGTGCTTCAACTTGCTGTGAGAGAAGGAATGAAAGCGTGCCCCTTAATGGATGATAGCGTTGGAAGTATTCGCGACATTTTGAAGAAGATATCGGACTCACCGTCTTTGCTAGAAGCTTTGCAAGGAGTGTGTGCCGCTGTTAGTATCAAGTATGTTTCTCCAGAACTCGATTGCGTCACAAGATGGAACAGCACTTTGACTATGCTGGCTTCAGCTCGTGCATTACAAAAGGCGATCGAAGAGCTGCTGCGTAGAATCCGCGAGCGCCATGAAGGATACAGAGACTTGTCAATTGGTCATACACATCGTCTTGCCTCCCCCATTTCGGAGACTACGTGGAGTTACTTGACCGAGTTTACGGCGTTCTTGAAGCCGATCAAAGCAGCAACTACTATGATGTCTGGAAAAAATTACCCCACATTCGGTGTAACACTTGTTGTCTTCCATTTGATCTCGAAGCATGCGTCAAAGATAATGCAGAATGCCGAGTCGTGGTACACTAGGGACTTTGCACGTGCCTTTCAAACAAAGTTGGATGAGTACCTCCCGTTGGTGAAGACTCGCGAGGCAAGGATTGCTGCCGTTCTTGATCCTCGAGCTAAGGAACACATTGTGATGATCGACGGTGATATCGAGCAGGCCAAGCGCCTTGTTGAGAACGAATATGAATCTGTGTATCGCAGTAAATACGAACGAACTGTGGGCATCGCCGAGGCTGAGAGAACGCAGGAGGAGAAAGAAGAAGACGATGACGAAGAAGCATTATATGGTCTCATTGATGAGCATTTGGATTTACACGAACCGGTCAACAACACAAATGAGTCGTTCGTGTCGGAGCTACAGCGGTGATTGGAACACAAGGACAGATCCATGAACCTGAAGACAGGAAGTCGAGCTGTTTGCAACTGGATGAAGAATGAAGCCGCTTCATTTCCGCGGATTCAGATGATGGCGCGCGATTATTTGGCAATTATGGCAACATCAGTCCCAAGTGAAGAGGCATTCTCTGCGTCGGGTGCAACTATTAGTTCTCGTCGTGCCAGGCTTGGAGATGATGCTGTGACAGTGATATCGGAGCTACAAGCGTTTCTGGATTTCAACAAGACATCAGGCGATGTTCATGCTCATCTTTAGTAGCTCAGTACAGTGAACCATTGA